CGGGTGACGGACGGGTGACTGACTGGTGATGGACGGGTGACTGACTGACTGGTGCTGGATGGCTGACTGTCTGGTGATTGATAGGTGAATGTCAGGGAATTGTATGGTGATGGACATGTGACTGTTATGTGACAGACATGTGACTGTCATATGATGGATAGTCAGCCTACCAGCTTCTCTGGAGATCTGCATGAATGCCTCCACACCACTTTCTCCATAGTTTCCTTCAGACGCCAGTGTAGAGACGTAGTTCCAGCCCAGAGCTTTGACAATATCCAACATGGCCTGAGCCTGGTACGAGTCCGGAGGAACAACCCGAGAGAAGAAATCATACCGATTGTTGTCACTGAGCTCTGGGGCTGTAGATGCATAGCTCACCTGAGGGATCTGAAAACCACATCAGAACTCAGTAATCATTTACAATAGCTCACCCAAATCTGGTAGATCACAATCTAAACCAACAGCATTCTGACAGCCTTATTTTAGAGCAAAAAAACCATGACTAACTGGTTAAAGTTGGACAAGCAGAGCAAAAACATTCTAACAGATTAAACCTGTGTACTCAGCCGAAAGTGTGTCAGAGCTTCAATCAGCTGATAACCAATCACATTACAACAAAAAGCCCTGTTAATAAGATGACCTCATTATGACAGCCATCATCATCATCCCCATCATCTTCCATGAAACAAATGGTAAGTGGACTGTACGTACATAGCATCTTTCTATGTTGTCAAGATACTCAAAGCACTTTACACAACAACCTGTGCCCTCATTTACCCATTAATACAGGACTCTACTATATCTATACAAAGAATAATCAGTGCTTTATCACATTCATACACTCATGGGACGCACATCGGAGGCAATGAGGGGTTGTAGATGAACATATACTGTGATATATTCATAAATTAAATGGATTCATTCATTTTTCTGGACTGAATAATATCATGTGTTGAATTATTAAATGTGGACGGAAACGTGTTTATCTTTGACTCACCAACAACAGTGGGTCATTTATTTAAAAACGATTTAAACACATCACACATTTACATTAATTTGGCAAAATGATTTCAACAACAACATGGCTTAATTAGCTAGTTTACAATTAGAAGACCATACGGCGATGGTTGAAAACCTTGCTTCACAACAGACATTTCTGAAAATATCTGGAATGATTTCTAGCAAAAAGAAAAGTTTAAAGATGGAAAATGAAGTTTATCTTGAGAGAGATGGGTGAGGGAATTTGTCTGTTATAACCAGAACAACACGCTCCTTCTAGACCAGCTTAACCCACGGTACACTTTGGTTGAGATCGACTCTTTACCTTTGCAGATGATAGTTTCAGCGTTGGTGTAGAGCTTTCCTTTCAACTCTTCCAGTGTCTCCGTAAGAACAGCTAAACCTCAGGAGTCGTGAGATCATCCTAGAACAGACTTCTTCATAATTCCTCTGAACTTCTCTTGTTCAGCTTAGTCGCAGATGTCCTGAGCATGCTGCATTCCAGCATTCTGAACTCTGCTGCTCTCGGAACTAACTCACAGCATTCTCTCCGCGTTCTCCTGAGCGTTCTTCCCAGAACTACTCAGAACTTCTCAGAACTTCAGAGAACTTCCTCCAGCATCCTGAATTCCAGCATTCTGAACTCTGGAACTGTTGAGTTTCACAACTACAGTGAACTAGGAAGTGTTGCACCTTTTAAAAAAGGTAACTTCCGGTTCATTTGAGAACTTTCTGATTGGTCGATGACCAGACAGAGGTGTGTTTTTGTGATGTAAGAGGTTATTAAAAGTCAAGGAAAAAGATTAAGATTGTTTAAGAACAGACAGAAAATTGTTATGAAAAACTCAGACTTCGTGGAGTCAATTCTCTCATATCTGCCTGAAAAAGTTAAACATGACATTTCTTTTTCAGTAAACTTGCAGTTGACCGAAACTTGACCTTTGACCAACTTACACAACTTGCTCATTGAAGACAGAAAATCAGACAATGCATCATTAACCTGATTTCTACTTTGAATGAGGATTAAAATCACTAATACTGTTTCACAGTTGATTTAAAAATGAGTAGTTCACTTCAACATTTGAAAATGGTTTGAACTAAACACAATTTGATTATCAAAACATTTGTAAAATAGTAATGATAATAGAAAAAGAGAGTGTTCTTTCAATTGATCAGTGCAGGACACTTAGAAAGTCTCTGGATGAACTTTATCTTGTGATTCTGGACTCAAATCAATGAAATACAGTTCTTGTTCCAGGCAGGCCCCTCAAGGCCAGATTCGACCTGAGGCCTAGTTCACTACAGGGTTCAGTGTCTTGCCCAGGGACACTTCGGCATGTGACTGCTGGTGGAATTGAACCCCAAACTCTTGCATTAGAGAACAACTGCTCTAACCACTCAACCACAGCCGCCCAAAATAAACTGCAACTACAGTCATGTCAAACTTTATATACAGAAACTGCACAAGAAACAATATTAAGGTGCTCTAAAGACTTTTATTGTGTTCTGTTGCCCTTTACTGTCCTCTGCTGTGTTCTGATTTCCTATACGGTCCTGTATTGTCTTCTACTAGACTTTAATGTGTTCTCCAGTCCTTGACAGTGTTCTTCCATCATTTACTGGCCTGTTCCGAGTTCTACTGTATTTTACTGTGTTCTCCTGCCCTTTACTGTCCTCCACTGTCCTGTACTGTCCACTAGTGTTCTGCTGTCATTTACTAGACAACAGGCTAGATTATAAGGCTATTATATTATAAGGCTAGATCATAGGGCAAATGTAGAATACTAAAAACAGGAACATGTTTGGACTCCTGGCAAGAACCAATGCAGACATTCCTGTTTTTAGTTTTCTACATTTGCCTTATAATTTAGCCGTTTTTTCTACTTTTTTGTCATCTTATTTTAATTTGTAAAAAATAAATCTGTATGCCTCTTTTATGATGTCTATTGTTGTCCTTGTTGTCCACTGTTGTCATCACTCTGTTGAAATCAGGTCTGTCTTGTAAATGAGTCCTCGAGGCTCAATGAGATTAACCTGTCTAAATAAAGGTTGAATGAATGAACTAACCTGTTTTTGTATCTTGTGGAACCAACTTCCAGTTTCTGTCCAAAGGGCTGAGACATTGTCCAGTTTTAAGATTAGGCTTAAGATTTCCTTTTGGATAAATCCTATAATTAGGGTTGGCTTTTTATGCTGCTATAAACTTACACTACTGATGACAAATGGACCTTATATTCTTAAATGAATTGCTAAAATTGAAGTTTTCATTTGATACTATTTCTATCTTAATGTGATTCTTGACCTTCCATTGTGTATCTGTTCCTACCAAACGCAGCCAGTCGAAGTAGATGGCCGCTTGTCCTGAGCCTGGTTCTGCTAAAGGTTTCTTCTTCATGAGTGAGTTTTTCCTTTCCACTGTTACATTCATGCTTGCGTAAGATGAGTTCTGCGATTGAGTTAAATTCAAAGCAGTCTGCTCTTCAGATAAATAATGTTAAATTATTATTTTTATATATGAATGTTTCTGTTCTGTGCCCTGAGATGACTTCTGTTGTGACTTGGCGCTATATAAATAAACTAAATTGAATTGTTCTGAGTTCTACTGTCTCTTACTGCGTTCTCCTGCCCTTTGCTGTCCTCTACTGTCTCATACTGTCCACTAGTGTTCTGCTGTCATTTACTAGCCTGTTCTGAGTTCTACTATCTTTTACTGTGTTATTGTTCTCTGTTGTGTTTTGTTCACCTCTTTTGAGCAAATGTATTTTTGGAAAGGAAAACAATGCTTTCAGGAGAAAATTTAAATGGTAAAGTGTATTAAAACAAAAAGAATATTGTTTCGTTTTTAAATGTACTTATAGTTTTTCTGTTGCTACGCTGTGATTTAAAGTTGAATAATGACCTCAGAATATGATGTCCAATTGAATAATGTGATTTGCAAAGCAAATTTTAAATCAACATTAATGAATTTATTATTTATTATTATTATATACAAAATACTGTTCAGCAGCAACAAAGTAACAGAATAGTACAAAACTAACAAAAAAATCTCAAAGGAAAATGATAAAACAACATAGTAAAAACATTCCAAAAATACAGTAATCTCTCACTATATTGTGGTTCAATTATTGTGGCTTCACTGTGTCGCAGGTTTCATTTCTTATTCTGTATTGTGGAGTTTTCGCAAAATCACGTGGTTTTGTGGTATACACTGTACGCCACTATCACTTGTACAAGTGGAGGAAGAAGCCACCTCTCATCTCCTTTGTCCTGTGCATGTGCTCTTCTGCAACATCAAGTGAATGGCTGCATCACATCGCTTTCAACGTCTGTCTATTCACTTCAGAGATTAGTCTCAAGGACATCCTCTGTCTTCACAGCACCTGTCACGCTGGCTGTGTGAGGCAGTTTCACAGGCGAATAGTTCCTCTGGATCTCAGCCCCCAGAGGGGCTTAGAGTTCACTCCATCAAAGGAATCTCATCCCTCACAGTTTCTAAATGGTTGAAGAAAAAGGCTATTTGAGAGTCTATTACCAGTCTCAGTGCAATGTATACAGACCAGGGTGGGGCCCAGACAGAAGGTGGGCGTGGACTAAAGTTTTCAGTGCTGTGCTGCGCGCGAAGGAGAAACCTGAGTGGAAAAGGTTTGTAGGAGTACGGGAAGGGTTTACAAGGCCTTAAATATATAAATAATAAAATAAACAGCTACTTTGTGGATTTTCATCTATCACGGGGGTCACTGGAACGTAACCCTTACGATAGGTGAGGGATCCCTGTATATTATATACAAATAGGATAAGTTGTCCAACTTGACCAGAGGACCAGTGAGAAGAAGTCAGTCTTTAACAGAACCTTAAAGTTTTCAAAGTCCAGCAGTGTTGGAGGAAAATTATTACAAAAAACAGGATCAGCAACTGCAAAAGCATCATAACCTTGACTATTAAGTTTAGATCTTAGAACATCTAAAAGCATCAGGGTATTTGACCTTAGATTACTTGAGACGGGGAGTAGTCCCTCACAACCCGGAAAGGAAAATGCAGGTAAAGAAAACAGATGGATTGATAGATAGATGGAGTATGATTTGTCTGAAAGTGTTATAGAAGAAAGTCTGGTTGTTTTATACATTTGGTGGGATATAGAGAGCAGCCTGCATGTGTGTTTACCTCAAACAATCGCAGGATGTTGGCCACCATGATAGACACAGAACTGGCTGATGCTCCAATCACACCAACCACCCTCTCTGGTTTGCGGATAATTGGCGTTTCTCCATTGGAGCAGCGGACGTCAGACATGTCCTTCTGGATCAGTGCTTGGACAAAAGTGAGTGATTGTTCCAGGGCATAAGTGTCTCTGGAACAGGTGTCCAGGATCCGGGCCCCCAACGTGATGTTGGGCAGCAGTCCAGGATCACTGTTGATCTGGTCCAGAGCATATAACATGGCCTCCATGCGGTGGATTCCCTTTTCCTTTTTCAGTTCACCACAGTTCACACCATGGGGGCCACGGGCATGGATTGGAAACAGCCCCCCCAAAGTGATGTCACCAGGTATCTTTATAGAGTGGGGGTGGAAATGCTGGTGGGAGGCCCTCACCTGGATTGCATGCTCAGCAAACCAGAACCAGAATGGAAGCAGGAGTCGAGGCCACAGAGAGGAGCGGCAGCCATCAGAGTAAACATGGAGATAAAAAGAAGAGAAGGCAGGGCCTAATGATGTCATGTTGTGGTGATTGTTAGTATGGAGCTTTCAACCTTTGGGGGACAAATGAGAAAGTATCAATCAATCAATCAATAACCATCTAAATAAAATTTTAACAATGTATTATTTTTTTTGAATGGGTCAACAAAAACACCTGATCCAACTGTGTAGAGACATAACCTGGACTACCTTACTGCCTCCAAAACCCCCACTGAGGACAATTTTTAGAAGGATATGTTTCTGGCTGAGCCTGTGAATGTCTAGACTCTGCACTGACCGCATGGCTGCTTCAGGGGATTCAAAGTCTGCAATGACCTCATGGCTGCCTTAGGGGGTTCAGAGACTAGAGTGACCTCAGGGTTGATATAGGGGGTTCAGAGTCTGCAAAGAACACCAGACTGGTTTAGGGGGTTCAGGGTCTGCAGAGACCCCATGGCTGCCTCAGGGGATTAAGGGTCTGCAATGACTGCGTGTCTGCCTTAGGGGGTTCAGAGTCTAGAGTGACTGCAGGGCTGCTATATGTGGGGTTAAGGGTCTGCGTAGAACACAGCAATGGTTTAGGAGGTACAGGGTCTGCAGAGACCACCTTGCTGCCTAATATGTTTCAATGTCAAAATTTACTTTATTAGGCCCGAGCAGCGAAGCGATGCGAAGGCCTATTGTAATCGCTCTGTTCAGGCCCGAGCTGCAATTTTTCCACCAAAATGATTTGGCGTTTTGGGGGCCTTAACATATCCCAAAAGTCACCAAAATTTGGCGGACGCATCAGGACTGGTGGAAAATTACGTATTTTAAGGGCGTGGCAAAAATCGCAACAGAAACGGTTCAATAGTGCCACCTGGAAATTTTCAAAATACCCTTCGTATTAACCTTAGTTTGTCGTAGAAACATGAAATTTGGTACACTTGTCCAATACCCCAAAATGCACAGAAAACCCTCCAGCACCAATGTTGTATGATAAACAGGAAGGTGGCCATTTTGGAATGTCGTCCCAATTTTCACACCTTTTTGGCGGTTTACAGCCTACACATTTGAACGAACTCCTACTAGGGATTTCGCTCAATTGGTTTCAAACTTGGCCATTTTGGTGAAAAGGCATGGGGGATGAAATGTTATCAAAACGGTGCAAACCGAAGCATGCTGAAGGGGCGGGGCCAGACCTAAAAGTTTGACATCTCGCCATGAAAAACGAACCGCTAATAGCTCCTATACAAAAACAGTCTGCAACATCAAACCTTCAGTGATTGATCCACATCCAGTCCCCTGCAAGACTTGTCAAATCATAACATGACTTAAGCCATGCCCCCTGACAACAAGAAGTGTAAAGTTTTACCTTGAATGGTCCCTATCCCTATCCCTATGATAGTGTGTGCAGTGACCGAAGACGTGTTGGTGTAACTTGCTTTCCAACACTGACAGTTTGGGGTGGAGCATGTAGGCGTCGCGACGTGGCGAAGACGTAACGCCGTTGCCATACATTTGACTTTAAATTCCACAGATTTGAACAGAGGTGCACCAAAATAAGTATGATTGATCATTATCCACCCCTTGAACAGGAAGCCATGATAATTGGCCAATAGCCTCCACAGTGCCCCCTATAATATTTTAAAACCTCAGCCCCAAGCCATTTTTTGACTGATAATTCTGAAAATCGGTGAACATCTGTATCGTCTCAGGACGTATGAAAAAGTCCCTTGGAGCCCTGGTCCAAAACCAACATGAAGTCGGCTATTTTGGATCAAAGGGTCATTTTTGGGCGATTCTAATGGCGAATTTTAACAAACTCCTCCTAGGGATTTTGAGTGATTGCCTTCAAACTTGGTTAATATGCCCTTAACGCATTTGGGAGTAAAAGTTATCAAAAGCTTGCGTTTTCGTTTACGCTAAAGGGGCGTGGCCAGGCCTAAAAATTGCACTTCACACCATAAATTTCCATACGCTATAACTTTCACAGTGAAAGACCGAAATGCATCAAACTTGGCATGACTCATCCCTGTTGGATGTCAGACGATCCTTGTCAAAGCCCCGCCCCCTCAAAACAGGAATTCTCTTTTTTTACATGTAATGCTCCCTCTTTGACACCATTCACCTTATCAGGATGATCCTGTGTTAGAAAATCAGATGGTCTGACTTGATTTAAAGTGCAAACCATTTTTGCTGGGGGATGTGGGCATGGCAGCGTGGCAAATCAAGACGTGACGCCATTGCAATACGTTTGTCTCTAAAATACAGATTTCAGCCGAGGTGCACCAAAATCACTATGATCAATCATTATCCACCCCTTGAACAGGTATCCATGATAAGTGGCCAATATCCTCCACAGCACCATCTATATTATTCCTACAGTTATAGCTCATTGATGCATCATCCGATCTGCACCAGATTTAGTGTGTGTGATCAGTGAGCACTTCTAGACACATTGATATTGTTGCTTAACATTCAGTTCAACTTTATTGTCTATAACATTCAATGAAATGGAGATTTGTCTTTGACATCTGGCTTATAAAACAAAATAAAAATGTGATTAAAAAACTCTAAAAAACTTTAAAACCAAACTTTGCTAAATCAATTAAAAACATTCAGTTAAAACCATTCTAAAATACATGATACATTAAAATATGGAAACATTCCAGCAGACAGTTTGTTTTGTGAGGCTGCGTTTAAATTCACTTCACCACTTGCTCAAGCCGAGATCGGATGCTTCCCTCCCCCTCCCTCTCCACTTTGCTGCTCTGTCTGTCTGTGAAACTGCTTCTGAGACTCAGACTCTCTTGCATTTTTTCCGAACCATAATTATGGACTTGTTCTGACCAGTTGGTCCCTCAACTCAATTTACAACATTTCTTCAAGAGAAGACAGGCTTTAGGCGAGCCGATTTACCCTGTTGGCACGTACGCAGCTGGATATCTCATCGACTGGAAGACTTGATGATGTGTCTATCTCTGCTGCCATCTGTGGATTTTAAGGACGCATATTTAATTGGATTCACGATAACCGGTTCCTGCTTTTTGGATTCAGCTGGTCCTGGTATTTATCTACAATCAAGGAAGTCGTCAGCAGCAAATTTGGACCCGATCACTCTGCTTGCATTTTTGATGGTTTGGTTTCATGTCTCGAGTACCCGGACTCAAATGCTTTGGGCTGAATGGATCAGATCTTGGCGATTTTTACTCAGACATGTTCCATCGGTGTGGCCATGTTAATTTGGACATTTCGGAACCGAGTGGACCAAACACAGACTCAAGGTTGATGTCATTAAGTTCTGCCTGTCCCAAAAACAACTGTTTATCTAAATTTTGGTCGCCTTGGTGTCCTTGAAGGCCACCTTATCTGAATTTCGCCTGGAGAAAATGTGATCTGACGCTCACCAAACCCTCCCTGAGGAATTTCCAACCGATAACCAGATGAAATCCCGCTGTAAAAACTTTCTGCCATCACTTCAGGACTCTTGGATACTCAGGGGTTATTCTTGGCCATTCCTCGACATACCTCGAGAATGTTTGTGGATCTCACCGGAGGACATTGACTGATTACAGTGACCTCGAGAGCATCTGTAGACGTTGTTGACCGGTCTCGTCTCTTCCTTCTTCCTGCTCTGCTCTGCAGAATGTTTACGTAAATATGTGCTTGTTTGTGCGAGGTGTTTTTTCAATATTAGAGGTTTTTCTCAGCCAAGAAAAAAGTCTGGTAGGAATTTTTTTCGCCTCCAACTCCTACATGTGTCTAGTTAACCACTGTTTTTGTCTGTCCTAACAGGTCTCACTTGTAAAAGAGTCTTCGAGGCTCAATGTGATTTATCTGTTTAAATAAAGGTGAATGAATGAAAAGATAGGACCTTGTTTAGTACATTCACCGCAGAGGGAACAAATAACTTTTTGTACCCATTTTTCTTTGCTAAAGGAACCAGGAGTCTTCTGCCAGATGGTACCAACCTGAATAATGGTTGCAGTGGATGAATTGGGTCATTGTAAACTTGGATTGCCTTTTTCTCCAGAACCTGTCTGTACAGGTCTGTAAGTGTCATATGTTGATGACCAATGACTTTACTACCTTGTTTGACCACCCCATACCATGAGACAATATTAAATGAAACACTTTCAACCAGTGACCTGTACACCAACTGCAAATTAATTTTGCTTGCATTAAAGCTCCTTAGCTTAACTTCCTGGTTTTAAACACCAGTAAGACAGAGACTTTGATTACTGCTCCCAGTCATCTTCACCCAAAAATCAATCAGAAAATTACCTCTTTCTGCCCAGTAGCCAAATCAAAAGTAAAAAATTTAGTTGTCACATTTGACTCATCATTAGGCTTCGAGTTTCACATTAAAGCTATTTCCCGTTTTTGTTTCTTTCATTTAAGAAACATTTCTAAAATACAACCTATGGTCTCCAGAATTGATCTAGAGAAAATTATTCATGCTTTTGTGTCATCGCGTCTGGACTACTGTAATGCCCTTTTTACCTGCCTGGACAAGTCTTCTGTTTCACGTCTACAAGTAAGTCAGAACGCAGCTGCCAGACTTCTCACCAAATCCAGCAAATACTGTCACATCACCCCGGTTCTATATTCACTACACTGGCTCCCAGTTGAATTTAGAATCCGTTTTAAAGTTCTTGTGCTGACGTACAGAGCTTTAAATGGCCAGGCTCCTGTGTATCTTTGTCATCTTTTAACCAAGTACTCTGCTGCTCGTGGCCTTCTCTCCCAGTCACAGAACCTCTTGGATGTTCCACGTACACGGCTGAAAACTACAGGGGACAGGACCTTTCAGTCAGTGGCTCCAAGACTGTGGAACAGTTTGCCCCTGCAACTTCATTCTGCTAACTCTGTTGAGGTTTTTAAAAAGCAACTGAAAACACTTTTATTCTCCCAGGCTTTTATGTCATGATTTTACTGTGCTTCTTGTAGTTCTTAGGCTTGTTTAATTCTTTGTATATTTTAGCGTTGATTTTATTGTACAGCGCTTTGTGATTTATGTCTGATTTTATGTACAGCGCTTTGTGATTTTATGTCTGTGA